GATGATCATATATGCTGTTCTTCAGGTTTAACCTTACTTTTATCAACGGATACGAGTCCAGTGTCGTAGAATGCTTGTATTCTTAATCTCTCTATGTCTCTTGTTTTGTTCACAACCAGGTGGTAATCACTGCGCTTAACGCACCAATAGTTGACAGAGCCGGAAGAAAGCCATTGCTACTGGTAAAAAAAAAACAGAGACAAAAAAAAGAGTCTTGACAAGATTTAGGCAGGTCTAACTAGAAGGAGTTGTGTGTGGCAGGTTTCTGCAACAGGGTTAGTGATAGGCTGTTTGATTGCAGCGGTCTCATTCTATCTCAAGGTTCACGACATGGCACACGAAGCAGTCCCAGTTCTAGCTGTTGTTGGTATAATGGTAAGTAATTGGTTTTTTCTAAGGAGTTTTACCAAACCCAATAGATTTGTTAAGATCATATAGTGGTGAGAGAGCAGGTGTACATAGGATCGTTTTCAGCAGGAATGGGAGCAATGCCGTGGGTCGTCATGTCTGAGGTAGAGAAAATCTCATGCTTAACAAGAAAATTACTTGAGAAGGGACGAGTTACTTATAAAACAGATTCGAACTTTGCAGATATTTCCCATAAACATAAAAGGAGTAGCAGGAGGCATGGCTACGCTGGTGAACTGGTTTGGAGCGTGGGCCGTTTCTTACACTTTCAACTTCCTCATGTCCTGGAGCTCTTATGGTAACTACGTATATATATATCATTCATTTTGTGTTCTGAAATTTCCCAGGGTAAAATTCGTTAAAAGGGATTAACAAATGGTGCAGGAACTTTCATCATTTACGCGGTGATAAACGCGCTGGCCATAGTCTTTGTCATTGCAGTGGTGCCTGAAACCAAAGGGAAGACATTGGAGCAGATCCAAGCTTTGGTCAATCCATAGTTGAACAGAATATTATTTTTCCTAGATATTACATTACTATGTTCGTTATCTATTAACTCGGGACATTAAGTATATTAATCTTGAATCCTTTTGCTTTTAAGATTTTTACTAAACTACAATCTCTCCGTTTTTCCATGTTTTCTTGACCTACAAGAAACATCATCTCTTCCCATTTCATTTCTTTGTAATCCATATTCCAAAAACTTTCACAAGTTTCCATTTTCAAGACACCCAGTCTCCATTTTGATGCCTCTTCTTCTTTTCTTTCCATTTCAATTGAAACTAGTGTAGTTAGTCAGACTAATCTTCTCTGCTTTCGAGAAACTTCTCATTGTCCACTGCTATGTGAAGTCAAGAATGTGCATCAGATTCTTGTTATGGTAAATTAGATTGTTTATATGCGACGGATCTCGGCTTCTATCTCCCTTCCTTCTCCTACACTAGACAAGTACACACCAAGTGGTTTGTGAATTTAAAACAAGCCACATTCTTTTTTTCTTTCTTTCTTTCTTTTTATCTTTTTTTTTTTTTACTTTCAAGACCATTCATTTGGACAAATTATTAAGTAAGAACTCATTCCTTCAGTTTATTTGACTTAATATATTGTTGGTGGTGAAACACGGGTTTTCTTCAACGTCCTCGGGTGTCTGATCTGTTCATCCCCGAAACACGGATTGTGTAAGGCTTCTCCTTATCAACTCTCAAACATACCATTCGTTTAAAGCTAGATGAATCTTGGTCCCTTCTCTCTTACTCAATGTATAGGCTGTTTGTTTCTGAGGAGAGGTTATATATATTTATATATATATATATGTATATTTGTAATAAAGTAATAACTTCTCTCTGAATTCATATGACTAATTAGAATGATCCATGTTTTCAATGTTAGATCATTAGTCTTGAAGATATGTACATATCAATTCATGCTTGTTCAAATAGAGGAAACCGGAACATAAAGCAAATACCGGAGACATACGGCAGAGGAGAATGATTAAGGCATGCACACTCCCTACTAACCATCATATTTCAAGCCTCTTATCATTTTGCAAATTTGGAAGCAAACAAAAATTCAAATAAGGAACCTTTACAGATAACATCAACTGCTTTTTTTAATTTTGAATCATGATTACATGTTTATTTATACAAGAAATAATAGACACTAGAATAATGAAATGATGTTTGAAATTGTTTGCTATATCATTTTTACAAGTATGAGATACAAATGTAGACTTATGAATTTCTGCTATTCAAAGGGCGAAACATACCTCATCGTCCTCCACCTTCAACTCATATATGTGATAATATTATGTTTATTAGAGGTTCGATCGATTTATAGAACATTGATGATATATACTTTTAATTCTTACGATCTCTACAATAAATGGATAAATTTATATTTTTCTTTTTTTTCTTATCTATGAATTTGTATTTATTTTGTATTACTTTTATGAATAATATGTACTTTTAAAATCTTTTCATTTCTACCAGAAATATAAATCATATAGCTTTTTTGAAATCACAAGACTAATTACACAATCAGTCTTTTATATTCACCAATTATACTTGTAGATTACAACCCTAAAAAATTATTCGTACGGTTTTTAACCTTTCAAATAAACTCCATTTTTAAGTAATTTTATTTGTTGTGAGTAATACACATCTTTTAACTATAACTAAAAGTTCTTTTTTTGTTTCACAATTTCTCTAAATTTCACATTGTTTGGGAAACTATATTTACTTTTTTATAACACTGATCTATTATTCTATTACAAATTATGAGAACTATTATATCGACAATTTAACAACGGACAAGTCTCCCGCCTGCAAATACGCCAAACGAATCTCCATGCACCACGTTGAAAATTTCATGTAAGGTTGTCTCCATTAATCTGCAAATTAATAATAAATCGCACCTTCCGGGACTCGAAACCCAGATCTCTTGATGTAGAAGCATTAAAGAACTCATTAACTACTAGGTTAAGGAAGCTTCCACGGAAACTATATTTACTTTGTCACTAAAAAAATAGTGTAAGTTCTTATTAGTAAAGAACTATCTAAACATCTACGAAACTAATTTTAACTTTAGAGTGATGGTTGAATTGTGGATTTAGAGTGATTAAGATCATTTTGTTTAGGTTTAGACCAAGAATTTAATATTTTATCAACGTATTTCATTGGTTGTTTTTCCTTGATCAATGTAGACATTAAACCCCTCATAATTCAGGGGTATTAATCTAGGTTTCAATATGAATTTTTTTAAGTAAAAAAATATCACTATTTTCTCTAGAATTTTGATTGAAAATACAAATTTTGAGCTGACCACTTCCTAAACTACAAAATAAAAATAAAGAGATACAATTTTTGTGCATTTATACATCTCAAAATAATTATCAATCAGCAAAATATATGCATTCTCATATTTTTTTACATAATCCGTATTTACAAATGAGTGTGCAATACGTGGTTTTAATTTTGGTATTTTACTTATTTTGTTTTCTATTGAAAAGGGAAAAATTTCATAATATTAACAATAAAATTGACAGTTTATTATAAGCATGTTGTTTTGCAACAAGCAGCCAAAAACAAAGAAGGAAAGTGTGAGGATATCAAAGCAGCAGCCAAAAACAAAAAAAAGAGAGTTTGAGGATATCAAAGGAGATGCTTTCCTCGGGCATTAGAAGAGACTTTCATACCCCTATTCTCCTAATTTCTGGTAACATTCGTTTCATAGAAAGTGTTTTTTTTTTGTAGCTCATGATTTTAAAGCGCTTTTAGGCTTACAATAACGCAACAAAAGTCTGTCTCAAGAAGTCATCATGGAATATGTTCTATGATGGGATGAGTAAAGGAATTACAAGAAGATTTTGGGATGTCTCTCGTGATATTTGACATTTGTTATTGGTAATATTTATTACTGATTTTTTTTTTTGATTAGTCACTTGTTTCTAATGACACTTGTTTTCAGTTTTGGAATTAGTCACTTGTTCTGGTGAAACTTGTCACTAGTTCTTTTAATTTTATGGTCTAAGAGTTTGGCAGAGATTGACTAGGAAATCGACATTGACTTGTATAAACCTATGTGTCATACCAAGTTGTCCTCAAATTATTGAGTGGAGAAAATTTGTATAAGCCTATGTGCTCACAAAATCGAATTTTCACAGGCCATAGAACAAAAGTTGCAACTTTGTTCCTGAAAGAAAGAAAATAATTGGAGATGTGGTCCAACTTGAGCTTCTGAGATAAATTGTAAGATAATTGAAAACACCATCAAAGAAAATAGAGTGGCATATCGAAGATCGAAGATAATTTGTCAGACAATCTGAGATAATTTGCTAGACAAATGGTTTATAGAACGTAAAACAAGGCACATTCTTTCTTTCGTTCTTTCTTTCTTGTTATCTTTTTTTTTTTGTTTACTTTCAAGACAATTCATTTGGACAAATGATTAAGTAAAAACTCATTCTTTCAGTTTATTTGACTGATTGTTGGTGGTGAAATACAGGTTTTCTTCATCGTCCTCAGGTGTCTGATCTGTTCATCCCTGAAACGCGGATTGTGTAAGGATTCTCCTGATCAAATCTCTAACATACAATCCGTTTAAAGTTTGATAAAATCTTGGTCCCTTCTCTCTTACTCAATAGGTTGTTTATGAGGAGAGGTTTTAGATATAGTTTTGTAATAAAGTAATGACTTCTCTCTAGTGTAAATTTACATGACTGTAATGATCCATGTTTATATGTATCTTTTTTTATTTCTTATTTTCAATGTTAGATCATCCTTCTTGAAGATATGAGTATATATCACTTCATTGTTGTTCAAATAGAGAAAACCAGAACATAAAGCAAATACCGGAGATATATGGCAAAGGAGAATGATGAGATATACTAAACATTAGTCTAGATGCTTTTAACTTAATAGAATTGTTTAAATTTATATGGCATCTAGACTAATGTTTTAGTTGAGATATAAAATTAGGCTACTTTCATAATTCTCTTTAAATTTCATACTTTGGACGTTCTGCCGTTTCAAGATTGAAATTAAACGACACGTAGTTCTCGTTTAAATAACAAATCCGGCGAGACTTGGCTGCTTAAGCGATGCGATTACTATCAATCTCCGTCATCTTCCGCATTAACTCCTAAAAGAAGCAAAAGAGTTTGATTTCGTCTTCGAGCTCGCGATCTTTAGCTTCCACGCGACAGAACCCTTCAAATTGACGTCGATTTGGTTCCGACTGTTTTCCGGTGAAGTTGATTCAGAGGGTATTCGATGGCATACGTCGACCACGCGTTCTCGATATCGGACGAGGACCTAATGATTGGGACTTCGTACACCGTCAGTAATCGACCGCCGGTGAAAGAGATCTCACTCGCGGTGGCTCTCCTCGTGTTCGGAACCCTAGGAATTGTTTCCGGTTTCTTCATGGCGTACAATAAAGTTGGTGGTGATCGAGGCCATGGTACGATTCCTTTTTAAATTGTTACTAATTTTCGCTTGCACGATTCACTTAGCTTGCCATTAGCTGGTTTCTAGACATTTTTGTTGAATCTGGGAGAATTTTAAGTCCTGCTTCTTTCTTGTGTGTTTTTCATTAATGTATAGGCTTGTTCGTTTCCTGAAGAAACCTAGTTTGGAAGATCTAGTGAATATCTTGTGGCGCCTAGTGTTGGACTTGGTTTTGATCTTTGTTTCTAGTGAAACATGTGGAACTCTCAAACAAGTATCTAGAGGCATGGTTTAGGCTTGGTTTTTCTCTGATAAATGTCCAGTGGTAGGTTAGCTTTAGAGACAACTTTTGTATGATGATCTTAAGCTTTTCTTCTTGTCGGTTTTTAGTCGAAAACAAATAAAATGTATTCCTCTGATCTCATCTTGATTGTTTCCAGTTACGAAATGTGTTTAAAGGGATGAATATTTTATAAAAGCCTGTGTTTTTGCAACATATACTGATCTTCTCTGCTTGCCTGAAACTTCTTATTGATGCATTTTACAAAAATCTTACTGCTATGTCAAACAAAGAATCTGATAGCGAAATAGATTCTTTGTATCAGATTCTTTGCATCAGATTCTTTGTATAGTGAAATAGATTATTTCCTTACCATTTCAAGAAACGATCACTTGTTTATCGTTGTCAGTTTGTCACATCAATAAAATGTAACATGTTCTCGCCTTCTTGGCTTCTTTCTCACTTCTATCTCCTTGAACAAGAACACTGGAGAAGTATACACCAAGTGTGTTGTATAACGTAAAACAAGACACATCCGTTCTCTTTTCAGTTTCAAGAAGATTTATTCGGACTAATGATTTTCTGAAGAAGAAGACTCACTCCTCTGCTTTTTGTTTTTTTGTTGTCTGGTGAAACAGGGATCTTCTTCATTGTCCTCGGGTGTCTTCTGTTTATCCCAGGGTTTTACTATACACGGATTGCATATTACGCTTACAAAGGATACAAAGGTTTCTCCTTCTCAAACATACCATCGGTTTAACCCCTTATGAATCCTCGGTCTCTTCTCTCTTACTCGATGTATAGGTGGTTGTTTCTGAGGGCAGGTTTTATTTTGCTTAAAAGCAATGACTTCTTCTCTTTAGTGTGATTTTAATTTTTAACATTACTTGAATGATCCATGTTTGATATGTATCTCTAGTTTTAGTAGGTGAATGAAATTTCGTTTTAACACATTTAGAGTAATTGCAAAAAAATTCCCAATTTCAAACTTAATCTCGTATGTCAAACTGTGTGTCGTTTTCCTTCAGATTACATTATTACGACAGAGAAAATTGGTGGTATATGTAATCTCTTGTCTTATGCAAACATACGTAAATTTGGAGATTCCATATCCAAATGGTTCTTCGACGGTTGTGCCTACATAATATACGTCAGGAATCAGTTACACCTAAACCGCAAATCCAATTCTTTAAAATTAGTACCGGTTTAGCTGAATTTGGATCTTCCTCCTCTCTATCGTACCGCCACAAACGCTACCCGTCTCTCATTTCCACATCTCTCTTCTCAATTTTTCTCATTGAGTTTATTGAGTTTGGTACGGTAAATTTGGCTTTGGTTCGGTTTCTATGTTTAAACCAAAATGTCAGCGTTGCAGGCCGTCTCATTGTTAGAGACTAAGAAACCATGTCGTTTTTAATGTTCCAAAACAGCGCGTTGTTTAATGTTCAATAAACGTTATAAACCCTAATTTGGATTGGTCTTAAACCCCCATTTCCGATCCACGTTCCCAAAATTTGATTTCTGCTGGAAAATTGTTCCCCAAATTGTAACGAGGACTATCATCGGAAGAGGAAGACGATGGTTTGGTTTCAATGCGAGGATTGTGGAGAGGAACTGAAGAAGCCAAAGCTCCCTAATCACTTCAGGATGTGCAGAGCCACAAAGGTCTCGTCTCGATTCAGTTTCTTCTTTTATAATTGAATCTCTGTGATGATTCTTCGGGTAAATCTCTTAGCTTTTTGTTGCCAATCAAATAGTTATCGTGCCTCGACTGTGGAGAAACGTTTGGGAAAGATAGTGTACAAGGACATAACCAGTGCATGACCGAAGCTGTAAGGACATTCACCTTTTCTATCAATCTTCTTCTCCTCTTTTGTTCATCTGTTATGTTTATATGCGTTTTATGTAACAAACTGACTTAAATTTTAGGTTTTGGCTATGTCTTGGAATAAGAGATTGAATAATTGTTTCTGTGTCTTGCATGTTTCTGTGTATTTTTTCTTCTGAATTTAGGAGAAATATGGTCCAAAAGGTCAGTCAAAGCCATCTAATGGCACACCTGCGAAGCCAAAGGATAACACGAAGCAACAGCCAGACTTTGATATAAATGTCGGCTTATCAAATCGATATCCATGGTTTTGTAGGTATTCACTTCTTTCGCCTTTCCTTACATTTCTTGCACTACACACAAATGCAGTTTAATGTATCGAGGTTCTTCTATGTTGTTTTAGGAGTATAAGAATCTATATGTTCTTTGGATTTTATAGAGCTAGTGTAGACTTGTGGTGAGATTTTATGAGGACATGGTTTTTGAGTATTTATCTATTTGATTTCAGTTTGTGTAACACAAAGGCTACTAGCCAGCAGACTTTGCTTGCCCATGCCGATGGGAAGAAACACCGAGCAAAAGCAAAAGGGTTCCATGCTAAACAACAACCAGAACAGTCCACGGTGGATGCAACCGAGAATGCTTCTAATGGTGATTCCGAACAGAAGAAAGTAGATTTGCATGTTTCCTCAGGTGTTGTTGCAAATGGAGGCTCGCCTACTGAGAAGAAGAGAAAGCTAGAGACTTTGGATGAAACAAGCAATGGAGAGGTAGTTCAAGCCGAGAAATCAAAAGGAGGTGAAGCAAAGAAAGCGAAGAAGCAGGACCATGAGAAGAAAATCAATTGGAAGAGGTTGATCATTACGGCTTTGAAATCTGTACGTATCTATCGGCTCACTGACTTTCGGTTTCGAATAGCTTCTTTTTGCAACTTGCAGTTCCAAAATTTACCAATGCAATGTGTCTACATAATGTTGTAATACACACATGAATTCGCATTGATACAGAACGAAGAGAAAACTTTGAAGATGAAGAAACTTAAGAAGCTCGTCCTAGCATCTCTTGTGGATTCAGGCATAACTCGAGACAAATCTGATATCAGTGCGGAGCTAGAGCTTAAGGTCAGGCAATTACAAATCTCATCCGCGTAATTAAGATGCAACGATCTTTTTCTCCCTTTAAGAAGAAGTTCACATTAAAGTCTTTTTGTTTTCTGTATTGCAGGTGAACTCGAGCTCCAGATTCACGGTTGATGGGAAGTACGTGAAACTTGTGGCTAAAGATTCAGTCTAATTCTTGAGACAAGAGTCGGATTTTGGCCCTCGCATTTTTGCCAGATGATTCGTTACCGTTACTGTCTGTATTAAAATTTGTATTGTCATTAAACTTTCGTATTTTCTTGAAAAAAAGACGAAAACCCTGGCACACTTCTGAAGTGGCTGAATTTTTTTTCTTGGAGAAGACTATAAATGATTAATGAGTGCGGTTAGCAAATGTGCCGTTTTGGGGGCAAAATGGATCTTACGGGACCAGATGCACAAACAGAATTATAGCGTCTTGAGCAAACACAAACTCAAGACTGAAGCAAACTCTTCCTTTCTCATCTCTAAACATTAATTAACCATACCTTTACATTACAAATATTTTAACAACGAAATAGAAAAAACACACTGGTAAAGACTACAGGGAACCTGTTAATGGGAGAAACTGAATTTTATTGACAGAAAATGTATTTCCAGAGAGGTAATGGCTCTGAGGTTATGGAAAACAACAAAAATACCGAAGCTCAAGAAGAAGAAGAAGAAGAAGAAGAAGACCCTCCATTTACATATATCAATACAAACATCACTATCATCACTCTTTTTTCATTTCTTTCTTTCTGCCACAAAAGCTATTTACAGCCGGAAGTTTAGCTACCAACCTACCCCTTACCCGCTGGACCCAAATCCACCAAAAAAGAAGATCAAAAAAGAAGCCTAAGAAGAAGAAGATGATGAAGATAGCGTCTTGAGCAAACACAAACTCAAGGCTGAAGCAAACTCTTCCTTTCTCATCTCTAAACATTAATTCACCATACCTCTACCTTACATATATTTTAACAACAAAGGTTACTAGAAATAGAAAAAACACACACTGGTAAAGACTACAGTGAACCTGTTAATGGGAGAAACTGAATTTTATTGACATAAAATGTATTTACAGAGAGGTTATGGTTCTGAGGTTATGGAAAACTACAAGAAAACCGAAGCTCAAGAAGAGGAAGAAGAAGAGGAAGAAGAAGAAGACCCTCCATTTATATATATCAATACAACATCACTATCATCACTCTTTTTTCTATTTACAGCCGGAAGTTTAGCTACCAACCTACCCTTTACCCGCTGGACCCAAATCCACCAAAAAAGAAGATAAAAAAGGAAGCCTAAGAAGAAGAAGATGATGAAGAAAAGAATCTATATGACCTAATTTTCTGGAGATAACATCCTAATAACGCATCCCCCGGTAACTGGTTATTCGTTTAAGGAAGCAAAAAAATTCTTTTACCTCTATGCTTTTTTGTTGTTGTTGTTAACTAGTATAACCAACAAGACTATACAGATATAGAAAGAGTGAGAGGGAGAGGTGACCTCATAACTTTATGTTCAGTCCTGAGAGATCATCCATTGGTATTCCAAGCTCTAGGATATCGAAATCTTCTTCGTCATCCATGTTAAACCATGAACCAATATCACCTGGTTGCGTATCAAAATCATCTGGACCTCCCAAGCCATCTGGTATTTGTAGCTGAGATAGGTCAAGAATCGCCTCTGTCTCTTCCAGTGTCTCCAAGTTATTACACTCGCTGTTTGTTTCATTCGATTCGGGTAATGGCGCTTTTGGTTGCTCCCGGATCCTAACAGATGAAGATACCTGGGTTGTTTTCTGCTTCGGTTTTGCTTTCGGTTTTCTTTCACCCTTGGCATTAGACAAGGAAGGCCGGCCAATCTTATTGGTTCCATTTCTAGATGAAGCCTGCCCTTTCCCATCTCTGTCCCTCTCACTTCTCTTTCCCTTTGTACTACTTGAGAGTTGTGTCCCAATACGAACATCGTCATCTCTCTTCTTGACCTTATTGGACCATGATGTATCTTCTTTCCCCGTCGTTTGTTCTAGCAAGGCATTTTCAGATGCTAGAGCATCAGAGGAATTGGTATAGTTCTCCAAGTTCTGCCCAATGCGTGCCAACGAAGAGCTTAGCTGTGTGCCCATGGGTGCTGCCAGGGAAAGAAAAAGAGATACAAATTAGCAGAGCGAATATGGACTTGGAAGAGATTTCGTTATTTATTTACACAATAGATCGTACTTGAAGTCGACAGAGTATACTCATTATTCACGAGAGAATCTTCGGCTGTTGCCAACCTGGCAATGAACATATCCTTAATTTCAGGCTCACTGAAGCAGCTTTTGCCTGTCTCTTCGAATTGATGGCATCGTTCAAGCGTCCTTTTAACAAAAGCAGATGCAGCCTGCTTTGAAATCTTGTTATTGGAATTTTTTCCAACAACGGTGTGATGACGCCTACTTGCCTGTAAAAGAAATGAGACGAGTTATCAACTAAGAACATTGGAGTTTAGCAGATAAGTGAATTTGCTACGGAAGCAAAATATAAAAATACCAATCTGAATAGGAGCCATTTTTGAAACAATTAGTTTACCTTGCTTTTTTCATATGCCATTTCGATGAGTTTATCATAACCAAGCTGATCAAACTCCCTATGTAAAGGAAATAAATACATATCAAAACTGTCAGATCATAATCCGGATCCATAAAGGCGTAGAAAAATATCGGAGTACGGGAAAATTCATACTTCTCCTGACTTTCTTTCATCTCTAAGGCAAGCTTTAGTAGCATATCCACAATCTCTTTCTTCTTTGAACCCTACAAAAAAAAAACATAAGGACCATCAAACGATGTTTTCCTGTGGAGAAAGTAAACATGGGACATACAAACATTTCTTTTTGTCATCTTACACCGGTTTCTTAAGAAATGTCAGAATCCACCTAAAGTACTTAATAACCCTCAAGGGGACGAAAACCATAAGAAAACAATAAAGTATTTGATGAGAAAGATACCTCCTTGCAGATGGCCTCCTCCAACTTTTTGATTTCGTCAACAATTTCGTCATCCTCCACGTTTGAGATACTAGGCTGTAAGAAAACACAAGAACAGCATGCCAAGTTGCAAGATACTTCAGCAATAAGAACAAAAAGTACATAGTAGTAACAAGTTTCTAAATAGCTAGGATACTAGCCTGCATACCATTGGTTCTAAGGATATTCCAATAGACTGAGCTTCAAGATAAATCCTTTCATCTATCCCCAATTTATCATACTGAATGTCTAAGAAGTCGATGGGTGAATGATCTAAAAATTTGCCATTGCAGAGGTGGACTGACTTATTACAACCCTTGAACAGAATTGCAGACTCATCGTCCTCGGATTCATCAAGGTGCGGCCTTTCGTTGTTTCTAAACCCATTGAACTCCACCATATTATTCAGAACACTGAATTCTGAGGCTTCATCAAGATCATGCGTGGCCCCAAATCGATCAACTTGTATATCTTCATTTACACTCATCGAGTCCTCAGAAATCAAAGCTGATAGTAATCTCTGGTAAAGTGGACAACCATTGGAATCCACCCTGCTAGTTCCATGTTCCCCAGGAACTAAATCACGATTATCAACTTCAGAGGACGTCAGAACGGGTGAGGGACCCATGGAGGAGAGTTCTCCCTGAAAGAGGGGAATAAAGCAGTACATTATTGACTGTCTCAAATGTGTTGAAGTTAACATGCTTAAAGCTCTGATTAGCTTCCGTCGCGCCACAAATATTGATATCTATCGAATCATGTATGATAACAAATCTAAAAGACACTTGACGCCATTATTCTACTCCTTTGGGATTTTCTCGTTTCCCTTTACCTTTACATTAGTATGTGCAGATAGATACCTAGGGAGCGATGCATAGTAAAATTAGTGCACATATAAACCCAAACCAAAATTTCTTATATTACAGCCCTAACCAACTAGACTATTACATAATTAGTTCAGGATGTCAGGTGTGAATAAGTTCCAATAAAGATATTTCTGTCAAATTCTTAACAATGAGATCTGAAAATGAAGTAAAATGTTTCACCTGGTGTTTCACGAAATTGATATGATCATCAGATATTAAGCAAAAGTATCGCTCCATTTGCTTCCAGAAAGGGTTGGGAAATTTCTGAGCTGCATCAATGACAAGACAATTCAATCCAGAAATAAAAGTTGGTATACAGCATAAAAGAGAATAAGGAAACAATATTTTACCAAAAATTACAGCCGACTTAATAGCCGCTTGTAGCTCCTCATGGCCATTATCTGAACCCGCTAATAAATGTAACCAATCCATAAATAAAGGAGTAAAACAAAAATAATCCAGCCAAAAGAGCAAAGTCTTATTAAACTGAACTTGGTTACCATGAAAATCTAGTGTTGAAGAATTTGCTGCCCGTTTGTAAGCCTTACGATCAGATAGTTTCCTAGTGGGTGGGCGACCTACCTTACTGCACAGAACTCATGAAAGAAATCTACGAGATAAACACCATGGAGTTCAAAAAAAAAACTTAAATCACACAAGAAAGAAAATTAGAGAGTACGTAGAAAAGAGGAATGATCTACCTTTCACTCTTGTCAAAATTCGGTCTTGCACTGCGAAGCTGCTTTGCTGTTCCAGCATTCTTAAGTTTCTCTACTCCCGCTGGATTAAGAGACCTTGTGGAAGAAAAGCCACGGCCCGTCCTTCCTCGTCTTCTCACACCATCCCTAATCTCCTCACCAGTAGCAGGCTTGTTACTTTTTCTTGATTGTAAAGAAGGGATGGACACTTTAGGCAAAATCTGTGCAGCTTTCCCACTAACCTCATCAGACTGCTTCCCCTTGATTTTAGACTTGATCTCAGGGGGGCCAGATTCTTCACTTTCTGATAAAGTTGCGGCGGAGAAACTGCTTTCACCGTTTAGTTTCAATTGAGGAGAAGCAGCTGGGGAGCGTTTATGAAATCCAAACCCAGTTTCAACACAGCCAGCATCTAATATATTATCTGAGTAAGGAACTTCGTCGTTATTAGAAACTATGGGAACTAAATTCGTCCTTCTTGCTATACGGGATATCTTTTGTGGTCTTTGTTTAGCCCATTGAGTGACAGGTGGTGATGAAGATCGATTTGGTGCCATACGCTTGCGATGTGTAACCCCTGACAATGGTGGAGGCTTATTTGTACAGCCAGAGATATCCCAGTCACTTGGGGATGGAGTGATATGGAGTCCTAGCGACAGTTTCTGAGGTACCCCTGATCCAGATCTAGGCCCGCGAACCGAAGCATTTGTTTTTGTGTCTGAAACCAGACTTGAAGAATTGAATTCATCGTGAATATTGGACCTTCAAAGAATCCAACAGAGTAATAAGTACGTAGAAGATGATCAAAAACAAAAGTGGCTAAAACAGCAGGAAATGATATGGTAAACTGAAATCTTATAACTAAGCTGCAATGTGATTGATAGAAAAACTCAAAATGTATGATTACGATTATAACACATACTTTCTGACAGCCCTGAGATTCACCCTTTCCTTATCCGAGCCAGTGGAGCGTTCTCTCTTCTCAATGTACAATGAATTATGATCAGCATCGATCCTTGACACTGGGGAATGTCCGGCCAACGTCTGCTGAGAGAGGTTATCAGATCTACCATACCCAGTAGCTCCATTGCCAGCCGCTTGCCTACAAAAATCATTCAAACAGGAGATTAAACCTATAGAATAACCACCAAAGTATACAGAATCCAAATTGATCGAGAGGAGGTGAGAAAATAAAGAAGTAAACAGACAACAAAGTGAACCCAGCATATTCTGAACCCTTGAAACCATAAACCTACCCCACTTCAATGGATTAAATAATCATCTGAATCAAGGTCATTTTCAGTCAGCAAACCACCAGTAAAATTGTGAAAATTAAAGGAAAGGAGATATAGCTGGTGGAATTACACACCTCACACTCATGCATCTTCAACATACAGAAGTTTTTTAGAGCGAAAAGACTCATCAATCCAGCACATACTTCTATAAGGTCAGATAAAATCATGTAAATAAAGAGACAATGAAGAGCAATCAATTCTAGTTCGTGAAACTACACTTATCATATTTTCCCTAATTAACTCCAAACAGAACACGTAAAGTGAAAGTAGCGCAATTACGAGACCAGAAGCTTTTTAGAGCGTAAATAATCATCAACCCAGCACATACTTCTATAAATTCAGAAAAAATAATGTGAACAAAGACAGTGTGAAGAGCAATTAATTGAAGTTCGTGACATCTCACTTCTTCTTTTCTTTTCCTAATAAACTCCAAACGGCGAACAGTATATGTAAATGGAAAGTAGTGCAAATACGAAACCTTCAAAAAGAAGTATGCTAGCTAAGTACATCTGAGAAAAGTTATTTGAAGAACATACCTCTAAGAGCATGGCAACAATCAATAAAAAAGCATAGTAAATACCAGCATTGGACATTGTATGTTGACTGCATGAAAAAGCTATTGTGTACATAGAACAGCTCATACCTTAACATGTTTGAGTCACCATTCAACTTCGAGCGGAAGTCACCCATTGCCTTCTGTTGTATTCCCAGCTTCAAGTCTCGATAACCATCAACCACTTTACTTGAAGCCAGGTTAGGATGACAGTTCGTTTTAATACAGGAGCGTTTTTTCTTCATCTTTGACTTTTCCCAACCATCAATACCAATTGAAGTTCGATCTTCACCTTGAACTGCATTGTGATTTGCCAGCCGCGTTATTTCTTTATCTCTGTCTACAACAGCTGACTGTCGAACAATAGGATTGCTTCGAACATCCATCTGAACCACAAAATAAAGAGATTAAGGTTTTCCGAAGCAATAATGACGCACTGACTAGTAAGTGAGAGCCTACTGAATATAAGAAGACAACTGCTATGATATTACATTCCTTTATCTAATACTTATATTTGAATGCAATTCAAAATAAATAAAATCTACTATATTTGGTGGCAAAGTGCTTAAGTGACGAAGCTTCTATATCATATCACAATTTGTGGCCAGTCTCCATATTTTAACCAATAACCTGTTCAAAACATGTACCTTTCCAGTAATCCAAAGCATGCAATTAAACGCAAGCAGAAAAGAGTTATAGCATAAAAGGGCGTATTGGTTCAAGTACAAACCAAGATATCAACTCGACTCAAACAACTCCATAAGGGTCATACATTAAAGGAAGTTATGTAACAAAAAAAAAAGAAAATCATGACTTACCATGGAAGTACGTGTTCGCTTATTTGGAACACCACTTTTAAGTCGTTCATCCAACTTTTGCTGGTCAAGCTCAAAACCACCAGCCAGGGTCTGACTTTGAGTTCCCATTTTATCTAGGCCTGACCCTAATACCATGCGATCACCAGAGCGCTCACCAGAAAACCCTTCTGGTCGAGACCTCTTCTTTGTAGGCACAGTTGGGAAAAACTTATTAAATACAGAAGAAGCTTCGTTGAAAAATTTTAGGCGCTCTCTGTGACCAAAAATATGTAAATGAGCTAAAAGAGTACTTCAAACACAACTAACTAACTTGTAGTAGTTAAACTACCTGGCCTTCACATTGTTTTCGCGTAGACCAGTCTTTAGTCTTTTGATCTCTTCTGGTATAGGAGATGGAATTGACTTCCCTTTCAATGCTCCACTAGGAGACTCGTCTCCTTGTATCCCAAGAGCAGTATTCATATGCCGCTTAAAGTCACCTTGACGAATAGACTTATGATCTGCGGCAACCACCTTAGGATCAAAACGCAAACACTGAAAGAAATTTGTTACATCGGTTTGTGCTATTGGTGAAGTGCTCCTCAACATGCTTGGATGAGATGGAGCAGAATGTTCCATGGACTCACGAAAGCTACTAGATCTTTCCATCTGTGCAGCAAAGTTAGATCTGTATACAGAAGAATAATCAAACTTCGCAGGTGCTGACATTCCCTCAGCTCTTGGAAGTAACTATGTATTATCATAAAGACTTAATACCCAGTGGAGGGCTGACAAGCTGTAGCACATAAATGCTAACTATACAGCTCTCAAATAATTGATTTGCCGTGCACCTGCAATGTGAAAAATAGAACAAATACATCAGCAAAAACACCATAAGTCTTCGGCATGAGAATGGTTCTTGTAATGTTACTTGGGAGACAAACAAATCCCAAAATGTTTCATGTAGAAAATAAATATGAAAATAATCAAAAGAGTGAAGTTGAAACATTTGGTTTACACAGTCCAACTCTTGAAAAGGCCAAAAGTAGAAAAAGCTCCAATATCTAGACCCTATATACAAACACAGGAAGAATCTACATGGGGTTTCAGATTAATCTGATTTCTTCATGCAATCATAGCATATATTCAGCTTCGTAAATATACATTCACAACAAACTTTAGCCAGAAACTGCCAGAACCATGCTCATATCCATAATAGCACAGAAAAACGCACTCTAAAATACTGAAACTAATCAATCGCAAGTTAAGTTCTAAAACCAAATCAGCAATTTAGAAAGAAAAAAAAAACGAAAACCTCTACTAAATGTGAAAGAGAACTAAGCAATAATAGAGAATGATATGGATACTACTCTAACCTTAATTCCAGGAACTATTCTTTCCCCTTACTGAAAATTTCCTCCAAATTTCACTTGCGCTTAGTTCGTTGAGCACCCGACACAATTAGGCAGCTAAATCACCTATTATGCCAGTGAAATACATATCACTAAAAATAAATTCCCCAATTTAACACAATTTTTCTAGCAAGCTTAAGTACAAATTTTAACTGATCATAATTTCACCACAATCTAACTTCATTACCACAAAAGCCCCCAAAAACTAAAGTTGAACCAAGAATTCACGAACTAAATAATACTTTTAATTAGAAACCCTAAGAGAAAGAACTGAATCAAACATAACAAATTGAAGAAATGAAGTAAGCAAAAAAAAAAAAAAAAAAAAAACTTTAGTAAGCAGCATAATCGACAATATTTACCAGCAATAAAAACCATATAATCCGGATCAAAGTTCAAAGATGTAGCAATGAAATGAAACGAAACCCAGTACCTCGAATCAAAAACCGCGGCAAAGGAAAAGCAAAACTCCGCAGGACAAAATACGAGCCGCAAAAAAATTCAAAGATATTGAGGATTGGAGCGTTTCGAAGAGTACTTAAAGAGCTCGAAATCGAAATCCAGCAACGTTCGTGCAACAGCAATGAGAGGACGGGATCGAAGCGAACTCAAGGCTTCGTTTCGTTGCTGTTTTTGATCGGCGATGAAACTAGGACTGCGGAAATTACGTATTTACCCATCGTATAACCCCTGAGGAATACATTGCCTCGTCAAGGTGAAAGTAAGGGTAACTTGGTAAAATACGAGCCGAGCCGGCTCGAAGCAGCTATGGGCCTCTGGCTTTTTTCTTCGACCAATGGTGATTTTACTGTGTACAATTTTTTCCACTAAAATAGATTAGTGTTTTCATTATTTTCTTCCTAAATTAATGATTTCATAGATATATATACTGTAAAGTATTGATGTATAGTTAAATTAGTATAAAGGGATTCTATTATACTATTTCCATGAGCTGCAAGTCTTTTTTAAAATAAAATCACAATAAACTCATAAAGTATTTATTTCATTACATTATATATTTAATTTAACTATTCATAGAGACTTAAATTGATAAAAGATTAAAAGGACAAAGATACAAATCATATATATTATAAGCAAAGTAAAATTTTGAGTTAAAGCTCTCTCATTCAATCTCAGAGTGGCTAATTACCATTTATCCCTCTTTATATTTTTTAAAATTAAATTTAATAAAAAATTATTAAAAATCGTAAATTTATTAAAAAAATTATTAAAAATCGTAAATTAAATAAAAATATTAAAAATCGTAAATTAATAAAAAATTGTTGAAAATCGAAATTTAATAAAAAACATTTAAATTTAATAAAAATTATTAAAAATCGAAATTTAATCAAAAAATATTTCAAATAGAAAATAACGAAAAATTAAAAATTGAAATTTAATAAAAAAACATTTAAAATCATATCATATATAATATATGTGAAGTAAATTTTTCGCTATAAGGTCTCTCATTCAATCTAGGTAACTAATTCCCCTTTATTCGTTAATAAAATTTTAAATATCCTTATTAATTAATTTATTTTCGTAGTTTGTATAAAAATTTTGCTGCCACTTTTAGTTATTTTGATAATATTAAGATAATTTCAATCGGATTATCTGTTGAGCGAGATTATCTGGAAAAAAAATGTACATGTGATATGGGAAATCCTAGCTTAAGTTGAGAGCTATATATAAATATATTACTTTATAAAATGTATCTTAAGCTCAATTGTGGTTTGGTTTCTACATTGGTCGGTTTTTCGTTGTTTTGTTTACCGTCTTTATTTTTTATAAATCAATTTTCGATTTTTTCTATATATTGTTTTTTCCGTTTTTCAGTACCAGTAGTAGTGTTCCTCGATTATATGTTGTTGTTTTGTGTTGTCAGTTATTCTTCCTTACTTAACGTGATTAAAACCATGTCAACATATCATAAATCATCTTCATTGTCTAATGAACAGGTTTTAAGTCTTTTGTTTTTTCGTTTGTTATAAATATGGCTTTCTAAATTCTGTTTATTTTTGGAATAATATAAAAGAGGCCAAATACTCTAGCAGGGCGCAGAGGAAAAACAGAAAAAGGGAAAAACGGAAAAACGAAGTAGAAAAAGAAGAGAAAAAAGATAAATTAAAACATATAGAAGAACATAGAGTTGACGAAAACGTAAAAAATGAGGAAAAAATGAACAAAAAGTCCTAGACCATGAACAATAAGATCAAAATGGGTAACACAAAATAGTGAAGAAGAAAAATGATAAGGAGATGAAGAACTCAAAGTTGAAGAAGAAAACTGAAAGAAAAAGAAGAACAAAAGTAGTAGATGAAGAAAATAAAGTATAAGAAGATGAAAAGTCGACAATGAAAAAGAAAATAAAAAGAAGAATGTAAAGATGCGAAAAAGACAAACAAAAATTAGAAAGAAAAAAAAGTTTGGATAAGACAAAAATGACCAAGAAGAAGTAAAAAACAGAAGATAAAAACGGCTAATAAAAGCAAAAGAAGAATAGTAGAAGATGTTGAAGAATAAGAATTTAGAGAATACAAAGACAATAAAAATAAAACAAAGAAGAAGGGGCAGACAAATAAAACAAAAAAAATCAACAGAAAAAACGAAGAAAAAACCGAAAGAAAAAAAAATCAAGAAGTCAAAGAAGATGAATACAATACATAAGAAGAAATAGTCAAAAACAATGAAAGATAAGAATGATAAAACAAAGAATAGAAAAGCTAAAAAATAAAGAAAAATGAGAAGAATAAGAAAACAACGATAATATGAACAAAAAATAATACAGTGAACAAGTAAGATAAAAAAATAGTCGGATAGAGTCGAAGACAATGAACAAAAAAAAATAAATGACCAATTGGAGAAGAAAAAAGATAATGTGG